AGCACACAGCGTCTTCACAACATGGCTGCAGCGTCAACAATACTACAGTGAGAATAAAAGTTACGCCTTCTTTCTTTGTGTGAACATTTGGGCGGCGTTATGCAAATCTTCTCACATCGTGACGTAGACATGTGGGGTGTGTTAGAACGAGCCGTTTTAGGTAGGCGTGGCTGACTCTTAACTTTTAGAAAGAATATCTCTTTGGTTTTGACACTTTAGTCTTTGCAACTTTACAGATCTTCTTTATGCACCAAGAGCTTGTAACACTTCAAAGAGAAAGGAAAAATTGAAATCGCATCATATGACCCCTTTAACAAAATTAAAATATTTAAAAAGTTACATTTATTTTATTTCAGCTAGTTGACAAGGCAACATTTCTTTGTTTAACTAGATGTACTAAAATAACTAAAACTGAAATAAAAATTAAGGAAACTTATATAGACAAATGAAAAAAACTAATAAAAATGACAAAAACAAAAAATTACAAAATGTATAATATTAAATTGAAGACAAAAAATATAAAAATAAAAACTAATTCATAATATTAATAAAAACTATAATATTATCTCAATTATACTAAAATAACACTGGTTAAAACTGTTCGGTATAAATACAAATATTTAGCCCAACTTTTACATGTGAATATTGTAGTTTTAGTTTAGCAACATTGCAAAAAAATTGTGAATATTTTGTGTCCTTTATTGGCGTTGACAGGCTTTTTAAGATTTTGACAGCACTTGATATTTTAAAATTCCCTCTCTTTTTTGTATTTTCTCTGTTTATACAATTATCAGGAGCTGGTGACCTATCAGCAGAGCTGTAAAAAGTGTCTGTCAGTGATTGACAAAAACCATCAGATCATTCTGAAGTCATTGGACACCAGTCAGAAGCTAAAACACCTGGACACGTCACTGCTAGAGAGGAGAATCACCGAGCTTCAGGCCTCTTCACAGGTGGGAACCGCACCATCGGAAGAACAACGTCATGTCTTATATGCAAGAATGAGACTGAGAAATGTTTCATGGTAAAATCTATGACTATTGATGGGAAACAATGGTAGCTTGATAAATCTGAGCGCAGTTTGAGATCTCTTCTGAAACTTGAGAGCAGACAGAACTACAATCAGAGAATTAGGCAGAAGCCATCCATTTGATCTCATTGCTGTCTTGGAGAAACAATTGTGATATGAAATAAATCCCATTTGCTGTTTTTCTTTGTTGTATGTTTTATCTCAAAAAGGGCATGGTAAAAGAAACCACAGAATGGAAGAGGCATGTGGAGGCGAACAGCAGCCTGATGAAGAGATTTGAGGAGTCTCGTGTAGAGCTGGAGAAGGTTCTGAAAATAGCTCGCAGCTCCATGACTGAGAGAGGAAACCCAGAGGACCTTCTGAAAAAGCACACTGTGAGAAATGAAAGCCAACAGTCTATTCTAGTGCTTGCAAATAGGCCGAAAGCAGAGTTTGAACTTTATTTCGTCTCCAGGAAGACTTAATTTCTTAAGGAAATTAGTTCATAGACATTTTAAAGCTGACGTGATTTCATAACATATCTATGGAATGTCCTGCAGGAGTTCTTTGGGCAGCTGGATCAGAGAGTTCTCAATGCCTTTCTGAAAGCCTGCGATGAACTCTCAGATATTCTACCAGAGCAAGAACAACAGAATCTGCAGGAAACAGTCAGGAAGCTGCACAAACAGTGGAAGGTCAGAGAACGCTTACAGTCTTACAGTCTCACCTCACAATACCAACCATTTTTATAGCATTTCAAAAGGTTGCTGATATATATTATTATTATGTATTATTATAATATAATTTTTAAAATTATATTTATTTTTCTATTTATTATTATTATTATTATTATTATTTTAACTGTGTGTGTGTGTGTATATATATATATATATGTATGTGTTTTATTAAATATTTTTGTGACAGAACAGTAACTAACATTTACATATAATGATAATAGTAATAATAACAATTACTGAATCAATAAGAACATCAACAGGACATTTGCATCTAATTCAAACATTAAGAGAAAGAAAAAATATAATAATAAAATAAAATATAAACTAATAAAATAAAATAATAAAAGGTGTAATTACACTTCAAGTAATGCACTATATTCCGTTACTTCATCTGTAGGATTCATACATTGCCAAACATTAAAGTTATTTTCTTTTAAGTAAATATGTTTGGACTGGTGCTTGTTTCTGTTGAAAAATGTCCAGTTTCAACTGTAGTTCAGCAGTCATGTTCTGTCACGGTGCGTGCAGGGAGATGAAGCGAGGACTCAATTGCAGGAGAAATGGTTATTTATTTTAATAATAAAAATGAAACAAAAA